GTTCTGTCCTACATCCACTAAGATATTTACACAGGACTCTGTTGCTAACACAAATAGTCATCCAGACACATGGGAAGCTTAGTGATTGATATGCTAAATTATCAAAGGATTTTCTCTTGTTTCTTCTCTATGTTCCTTTATTTTGATTTTTTCTAAAAGTGAAAATTTTATATGCAAGAAATAAAAAAATAGAAAATTAACACTTACTAAAATTAATTAAAACAATTTATTAATATGTAACCCTTTTTCCTTTTTTAAAAATTACCAAATGCCCAAACTCACTGCTTCCATCCATTATAGAATCATAACCCAAGGGGGAAGAAAATGAAGCTGCTTCTGGCTGTTAGTTTTCAATTCTCATTGCTTTAACTCTGAGGGACTTGTCTGGATCATAGCCATCATTTCCTATTACTTCATTTAGTCCTTGTTGTTTTGACAGTAACCGGACAGTGATTTGCTTTACCATGCATCACTTGCATTTGTCTGCTGCAATCATGTTTATAACAACCAGGCTTATTATTGATGAGATAGGTCATAGTCTATTTAATTTGTAAATGTCAGAGGTTTCTGTGATGATTTATTTAGGAAATTGTAAAGGTCACTTCAAACACTGCTATTTTAAGAACCAGCCTTAGAATTGTGAAAACACTAATTTTACATTAAAATTAAAACCATAATTCTAGATTTTTTACAATAGTAAAATCACATATTTAACTAAAAATATAGCCCTTTTAGCTTGAATAGGTGTAGTCCTTACTAAGGTGACTTAGAAGTATTTTGCTTTGTTTATCAATTGTTTACTGAGTATCTACTATGTGCAAGATCCTTTCTAGGGGCTCATGTGGACCGGGAAACAACGGTCTGCTCCCTCACTCCTGGGTTAGAATCTCAAGGAAGGGACGAAAAGAAAAAAACTCTACCATTTTATGAAACAGCAAGTGTGATAGACATGTGCTATCTAAAAGTGTATAATGAGGGAACTTAGCGGAGGTCAGGGAAGACTTCTTTGGGAAGCAACATTTGATCCCAGATATGAAGCATGAGTAAGAATTAATTAAGGAGAAGAGAGTCAGAGAGTACACTTCAGGCAGAGAGAACGATGTCTTTAGAATCCCTGAGGTGAGAAGGAGCCTGATGATTTTAAGAGACCAAAAGAAGGGCCATATATAGGGCAGAGAGCAAGTGGAGTGGGTCTGGTGACATAGAGCAGACTGAGAATATGCAGAGCCTCCCAGGTGTCCAGAGACCCAGGATTTGAGACTTTGCCATGGGAGACTTCAAATAAGGGATGATCTGATTCATATGTTAAATTCATATGGCATTAATATGGGGAACAGATTAGAGAGGCACTGCCATTAGAACTTTGGATCACGATGGAAATGTTCTGTATCTTCCCTGTCCAATACAGTAGCCAAGAGCTGCATGTAGCTATTGAGCAGTGATATGACCAAGGAACTGAATTTTTTTTTTTAGTTGAATAGGTGTCAGGAGAAAATTGTCTTGATGACTGTGTAAATATTGGTTTACTTTTATTTTCTTTTAAATAGATATACAAAATTAGTTTTGAGATAATGAAACTTAAAATTCAATTTTTAAGAATAAGGATATCTTGTAATTGCTCAATTTCTCTATGAACTCTAGCAATGGTATTTCAAATAGATTACAGCTGTCTTTGTTGATAAACTTGCTTGAATAATGAAAATATTAATTCAAGCAGTAGGCAAAAAATATATTTAGTATTATATGATGGAGAGCAAGCAGATTCAAATGCAAGACCCCCTGTGGGTAGAATTAGATGGCATTTGCTGAGGTTGTAATCTCATTTAGTTTCTCTAAGGTTCAGTTTTCCCACTTTTAATGAGGATACCTACTCTACAAGTTGCAAGACTGTTGGTAATGTGTGTAGTTGATCTGGCACAATAAACGCAGTGGGGGAAGACTGTAGGAATGGAGTATTAGAAAGAAAAACTTCTCCTGCCCCATCTTTTTTCTTACTGTTCCCCACCCCCGGCAAGAACTTTGGCCTTTCAGATTGATAATGCTAGAAAATCTATCTAATAATAATAATAATGATAATAATAATCATAAAAATAATAATAAACCACAAGAAGCTGAGGAGCTTCTTTTTTTATTGCAAGCCACTTTTTTAAATGATTTGCTAATACTCATAGCTTTGACATAGTTCATATTATTGAGAGCCAAAGTAATTAAAATTTTATTTGAATATATACTGTGAAACATTTTAATTTGGTATTTTTACTAAAGAACCAGATTTTTGGAATTAGGGGAGATTATATATTTTTTATATTCATGTTTATAAAACTACCCTGGTAATTATTTAGAGTATATCGCATTAGTTAAGAGCACATCTGCTCATTTCAGAATATCTTTCTGAAAACAAGAGATTTGTTGGAATTTAAATGTAACACTGTGTTGCGGTTGATGTAGGGTTTTGCATCCTAGTTGCTAATGTGATTTTGCTGCATTATCTGAATTAAAGTCTGAATCACTCAAATTCATTTCCCTTTCTTGCAGATCATGTATCAGTTGGAGGACTTGGAGACAGCTTTTATGAATATTTGCTAAAGGCATGGCTAATGTCTGACAAGAGAGATCTAGAAGCTAAGAAGATGTATTTTGACGCTGTTCAGGTAAACCCAATATTTAAATCATCTTTGCCACTTAACTCTAATTTGTAACTTGCATATTAATCAAGCTTTAACGAAAAAATCAAATACTACGTGAGTGGATTACAAATTATTTCCAGCAAGGTCAAGTTCAATATCTGCTAATATAATTATAACAATAGTGATCATACTTGATGTTTTAGTTCTAATAGGTCAGTTAAGTTTTTTTTATATGGTTTGAACCCCCTTAAGATTTACATATCCGAAAAAGAGGTATTTTTCTTCAATGGTATGATTTCTCTGCTTAGAGTCACAGCCTAAAATTATGAGGAGAAAAAAAATCCTGAATGTGTTCTGAAAATCGATTAAGTTAACATTGCCCAAGATGACATGCTCATGGCTACCTCCATTCGGAGTAAACTTACCTCCAGAGATATATGAACAGTACTCTTAAACAAAAATCCAAACTAACCAAACTAATATTTAAGAGATGGTTATTAATAGTTTTCAGTGGTCCTTTATAATGGATGAGGAATGAGAAGGAACAAATATTTGTTGAATTGCCTACTGTGTGCTTAGTATGTTAGGTGGATATTTTAAATAAAATATTTGTTTGTTTGTTTCCTCACAATAGTTTAGATACTGTTCATCCAGTTTTCCAGATAAGAGAACTGAACTTCAGGAAGAGTAAGGATAGAACCAAAATTCAGTCTAAAATTTATGTCAACACTTGTTCCTTTATCCCTCACCACTGTAGAGTTATTTGTGAATAGAATGTCTGTACTACATGTAAATATTTCTTTACAGGCAGTAAGTTAATAATATGTTTGTAACTACTTAGCAAACTCCATGTGACGTGGCCAGTGTAAGAATAAACTAAGCCTTAATCAAATTTAAGCCTCAATCAAAAGTGAAAATAAAACTTTGAAAGTAAAGAAAGTTAAAAAGGAAAATTATTTTATATAAAATACTTGAACTTGTACTCAACTATTCTTTTTCTAATGAATTTTCAGGAACACATTTTTTAGCAGAATCAAGTACCTTTTGATTGATAAAAGTATTTTATACGGTAACTCATATTTTTAAATATTAATTATTATCAAGGCATCTCAGATAATGCTGTAAAATTATGGCTACATCATCAGAAAATTGACCTTTTGACTGCTTAGAATTTTTTTTGTAATTGAGAGTAGTAATTTATAGGGGAAAAAATAGTAATTTGTAATCTCAATGATGTAGGCATTGTTCTAAAATTGGTCTCCCTAGTGACATAGGCTGATTTATTTAAATATAAATGCAACTTGCTTTGGTCTGCTTGACCAGACTGAATAATACATTGGTTCCCTTCCAAAGTCAATAGAGAGTTTCATTAAATAAAACAGATACAACTCTACTATTTCACACAGAGGAACCAGAACACCTAGTTATTAGAACATTGGCCTTCAGTTAGCACAGCCTTTATTAAGGCATATGATGAACATTCAAAGCTTACAAGGATACTGTCCACGTGGCCTGTTTCAGATTTATTTTCTTTTTTTCATTCCTATGAGATTTCAGGTTTTATCCTAGGTACTTCTTCTCCATACAGTATGATTTCCATTATGTCATTTTTAAATTAATATCCTGTACGACATTTTAATTATTCTAATCTTAAAAGTGGCCCCCTAAGACCTTGATGTTCCAGGAAAAGCAACTTAAAAATATTCCTTGAAATATACCCACACGGCTTTTAACATATTGTATTTAGACAAACCATTGACAGGAAAATCCATTAAGAACAAATGAAATCGAAGTGTTTCCTGTTTCTCTTAATAGTAAAAACACTTTCAATCCATTGTGTGTCTTCAGCTTAAAAAGCAAAGCTGGAACAATTAAACTTCTGATTTTGAGAAGTAGCTATGTCTTACACAGCAAAATTTCTTTGTGCTCGGTATACTTCCAGGTATTATTATTATCAAGGAGAGAATCCCTTACATTATTGTTCTGGACACTTGAGTTACTAGAGATACAGTTCATCAGTTGCAGCTTCAAGTGGATTTTAAAAAGTATTTAATTCCAGAGTGGTATTTTCTTTGGTTGTTTTAATAATAAAATATTTTGAGCTTTTAACTGGATATCATGGCCTTATCTGGAAACCACACTAAGAATCCACAATGATGTGTGCTCACCCTGCCATTGGAGTGAATGGTACTTGGGAAGTGATGTATTAGACAAATAGAATTCTACAGACTTCATCAAACTACCTTTTTTCAAATACAGAAGGATGAAATCACAAAATAGACAATATTCTTTTTCCTAATGAATTTTCTATAGATTTGACACAACATTTTTTTAGGGCCACTAAGACTATTTTTCCTCTTTTATATTTATTTACATTTTCTCATTGCCACATAAACATTGCTTTGAAGGTCTTGGAACTTCATTGTAGTTTAGTTTGAGAGGTAGCAACTCAGTCAGAATCACGCCAAAAATAATGTAGTACTTTATGCAACATCTGTAACAGGGTAATAATGTTTCTCTAATCCATGCTCAAAAGCTATTACTCTTGCCATGTAGAAAGAATAATTTCTTGGGTGATGAACAAGTATCTGCTTGAAGGACTTTATTGCAATTTGTGCTATGAGAAGTGTAAATAGCAAAGATGCTCAGTCACATTAAATAAGAATGAAATATTAATGTAATAACTAGACATCAATAAAATTAGCTTAACCACAGTTAATAAACACAGCACTGTGTTTATTTATTTCTTACCATCTTGATTTCATTTGTTTACTTCTAATAAAGGTAGGAAAAGTTTTACCTGCCTGTGTATTCATTTTTATTTATTCTTCTCTATCACAAGGCTATCATTCGTGTTTACTATTCCTAAGTACCCTTCCTAAAAACCCCTCTTTTTTGCTAATAGTGTAACAGGTATAGATACAATCATAGCCCATTTCCTTCTATGAAGTAATTGGAGGGAAAAAAATCATTTCCTGTTACAGTAATTGGAAATTAGTAATTTCAAACACACATTATTTTTGCTTTTTAAAATATAAGGCTTATTTTATTTTCTCTATCTATTTTAAAAGAACATTAACAGTCCTGAGGCAGAAATAAAGGATGTCTTATAAATAATTTATTGTAAATGTTATCATTTCTCTCAAACTTACAGATTTTATTAGTTTTAAATATATTTATTTATTGTATACTAATGTGCTTTTTAGTAGAATTATTAGCAGGAAACTTAGTTCAAGCGTTACCACAATGGAGATGTGATGATGTGATTAATAACCTTTATCAGGTGCTAGTCACAGTATGGACCACTTTATAAACAAAATGTTGCAGTTTTCTCAGCAGATACTACTATTCCCATTTTATGGATAAGGATACTGAGATTTAGGGATACAGCAAGCAAACTGCCCACAAAGTTTAGAGATAGGGGAAAAAAAAAGTTCATCAGAGCTGAAATTTGAAGCCTAGCAATCTGACTTGAGAACAGTTCCTCTTTCCCCCTCTGTTTTGTTAGCCCTCCAAACCTACAGAAGCAAAAAGAAGAGTAAATACCAGTCTGATTTCATACACAGATATGCTCAATTCCTAATCCATAATAGGGCCTGTGCTTTCTGTTGTTTCTCCATTTGTGAAAAGTGGAAATGCACTAAACCAACTGTGACCACTACACCAGTGACCTGTCTTTGAGTAGGGGACAGCTTTTTGGTTATGAAGACTACAGGTGTTTGGTTTTAGAACCAAGCAAAACTGACTGAGCTGGCCCAACAGCACTCATTCTAACTAACCAAAATAATAAGGCATAGGCTAGAGGCGTAAAGCAGTAATATAAAATTTCAGGTCGAATTGAATTTGTAACACCAAATTCAAATTGTGAGTAATGTTTTATCCTTTACTTTAATGTTGGGGGGAGGAGGTGGTGTTGGTAGTATAAATTTGAGAAGAGATTACAAATGTTGAAAATGTTCTGCATTTTCAGGCAATTGAGACTCACTTGATCCGCAAGTCTAGTAAGGGACTGACGTACATCGCAGAATGGAAAGGGGGCCTTCTAGAACACAAGATGGGCCATCTGACCTGCTTTGCTGGAGGCATGTTTGCTCTCGGGGCAGACGACGCTCCCGCTGGCCTGACCCAACACTACCTTCAACTCGGGGCTGAGATTGCCCGTACCTGTCATGAATCTTATAATCGTACATGTGAGTACATGCTATTCTTCACTTATAATCTATCCCCACATGCTTTTACTTCATTCATTTTTTTTGTTGCTGCCCTCAAAAACCTATCCACTGTGCCTGATGAAACTTGATGATCGTGATTAATATCTTAAGGAATTTATGTTTTTAGTTTGAGGCACTGCTTTTCTAGATAAAAAATATTTACCCATAGTTTGCCAAGAAACAAAAATCCAAGCTGTAAAGGATTAAGACAATCTAATTGATTGATTCTGCATTTAGATAAATAACATTAGGTAACAGTTTCTGTCCCAGTGCAAAAGAAACTTAGTATTTTTTTGTAAACTATTATTAATCTTCCCGGTATCTCCATGAAATAGATTACGAGTCTGGCTTCCTTCTTATAAAATAGGAATTTGAAGCAAAAAAGATTAAATAATCTTTCATGCATTAGAATTCTCAGCCACTGACTTTCTAGCTAGCTAGTAAGGTATTTCATGGTGCCTTGTACCTACCAGGTGGGTGCTTAGTAAATGATGGTTAAATGAAAGAAAATAAACAATCATTATCGTTTTCTAAAATGGACTCTTTTAAATGACTAAATTTTAAGAATATATTGAGTAATTTTTTTACTACATGATATTTATAATTGTTCCTTGAAATGACTTGGCACCTTTTTTAAATGTTGTACTTTCTAGTTCCATTTAAGTTATAGACACTAGGCACTGTCCAGGACAATAACCAATGTCACCATCGCATATTTTTTAGTTGTGAAACTGGGACCAGAAGCTTTCAGATTCGATGGCGGTGTTGAAGCCATTGCTACAAGGCAAAATGAAAAATACTACATCCTACGACCAGAGGTTGTTGAGACTTACATGTACATGTGGCGACTGACTCATGATCCAAAGTACAGGAAATGGGCCTGGGAAGCCGTAGAGGTGATGTTTTAATTTGCTTATGTTTCTTATAGAAAAATGTCTCAAGAAAAAATGTTCGGTAATACCTATAAGTCTAGTTTATCATCTCTTCTATGACTTTTAAAGCTTTAACCAGACTTTTTTCCATTCAGGACTGAGTGTTTTCAATTAGGTCATCCTACATCTCTGGCTTCAGTTTTGCTTAACGCAATGATAGATAGATAGACAGATAGACAGACAAATATTGAAGGAGATATCTAGAAAGGCATATTATAAAATTAAGTTTCCATGACTATAGAAGTGATAACCACGTAATTCCACAAAGGGTTACAGGCAACTAGAGTATAGTTACCCTTGCTTGTTATCTATTTCAAAAACTACTAGGTGTTTTGTTTTTCTATTGGGCATTGAAATGATAATTCATATGCTTTTACTCGGAGTAAATTAGCTCCTTGGTTTTAGAAAGAACCTATGGAAGAACTACTTGTGCAAGAATATTCCTTCACTAACGTCAGCTTTCTCTGAATATCTATAAGCTCTCCATCTGACTAGTGTGCTGTTTTAAATCTTTGTCA